AAGGCAACAAGGCCGAGGCCTCGGGTGTACGCCGGAGGGCCTGCAGCATTGCCTGGGGCTGATGAGGTCGTATGCCGCAGTGACGTCAACGGAGACGAGTGTGAGTCTCGGATCAAGCTGAGTGCGGGCCTGCAACACATGCTCGGACCCAGCGCGAGTTGTGAGCGCATGTTGGTGAGGCAAGCAGGCACGCTGAAAATGGGCGGCGAACTGCTGTGCGAGCGTGCGGGCTACAACCGGTTGCAGGAAATCCCCTACCACTAAACCCCTAGTGCCGCCGTTGGGCTTGCGCACGGCAACGAGACGCCCGATCGCCAACGCAGCTGCCATGGGTTCAGGCACAGATGCGCGGGCTAGGAGAACTGCGACGTCTCCAATGGCCTGGGATGACTCCTCTGCATCCAGGACGAGGCGTAGCATTTCGGCCGTGAGGCCGGTAGGGCCAGAAGCCGCACCCTTGCGGGCCCGACGCAAGTTAACGAGCAGCGCTGTCCTGTCACCATCGCATCAGGCTGGAAATCCAAGATTTCGGACCCAAGCGGCCCATACGGCTCAACCGGTCGGCGGGAAGGGTCCGTCAGTTGACGGTTTTTGCTGTCGATATTTTGCCCGGGTCAAGCGCCCCGACATGAACCATCGCATTTCTTGTCACCCTGCTAGAATTGCAGGCTGCAGGTGACCAATATTCTTTCAATATAGCACCAAGGCGTGACAACATACCTAATGAAGCCTTATGCGAACTGTTCGGTGGAACTGGCTCCGGGCTGCATGGAAAACACGCTCTGACAGCTCACTGCGACTGCGGATCCGTTCACGCCAGGCATGGTTGCGCTGCAACAGGGCTTGAAAACACGCATCTGTCCACCAAGCGGTTTTTTTGAGGGTGGTGGTTTTGGGTTTAGGGTTTCCGGTAAAGGGTAAAGGGTTTAGCGGCTTCTGGAAAAAAGAAAAAGGTGAGGCACAAAGCAACCGACGGGATACGGCAAGCAAGAAACAGGAAGCGAAAAGATCAAAACAAAAAAACGGCAAGCACAAAGCAGAAAGCAAAAAACAAAACGGTGAGGCAAAACAATGAAACTCACAGATCAAAAAGCTGCGTGCAGGAAACGACAAAACAGAAACCAGTAAACCAAGTAACGCAGAATGCAAAAAAACTGCAACCACGACCACGGAAGGAACCAAAAAACAGAAAACCAAAGGCAACAGCCTAAAAACTAAGACAACCAAATGAATAGGACTCCAACAACCTGTACCGACGTTGCCGGCCCGAGAAAAGAAGCTTTTGGGTGAGCCGGCAGCCCTGGTTCAGCAGCCTGGGTTCGTACAACGAGTTCGACCGAGTGAATTGCGGGTTGCACTATGGCAAACCTTACGCCGAAGGTTGGCTGTGATGTCATTTGCAAACAAAAAGTTTTGTTGGTTCACCAAGTTGTCATCCCACCATGTTGTCAACCCTTTCGGGTCATCATAGTTCTGTCGTGTTTTGAGAGCGCGGTCATAGTCACGACAGCCGCCACGACAAATGACAACAGTGACGAGGATCAAGGTTGCCATCCATGTAATTGTCACCTTGTCGTGGTTCTCATACCCATAACCAATTTTTTCTACCCCTCGGACAACAACGGTCGAACCGCACCTGGAAAACAACAATCTTCTTTCGCCCAATGACGCTGAACGAGATAGTGTGCGTTGGTGAAACTACTGCGTTGGTGCTCCAGGACAAAGGAATCAGCCATTGCGCGGGCTGGGACGAAAAAAAACTGCACACTGTGCTTGGGGAGGGTGCTTGTAAAACTCAATTTCTCCCAACGCCTGTGTTTGAGCCAGCCCGTGTGCAAACAGCACTTAGCTTTCGCGCAAAGGTGCATGTATTGTGATTTTCCCTTTTGACGTTATAAAATAATAGCGGTCATGATGCCAAATGCCGTTTTGATGCCTCCCATCTAAACCATGGACGCCTCAGGGGGAACAGTTGACCCATCAAGATTTTGAGTTGGCCTTGCATTGAGCGCCGTTAATGGCCCCTTGACGTGTTGGGGCCACCGCACTGTATGTCCCGGTTTTCTGCGGCCGCGCAGCATTGGCCTGAGACTTGCGGCCGCACGCGTGTCGAAAGCTGGGGCGAAGTCGAGCACCTACCTGGCCGCTTTGGAGCACGCGCCGCTCCACAGCTTGGCAGCGGCGTGGTCAACAACAGCAACAGCCTGCTCTACCTGCACATTGGGGGGCCGTCCCTGGCGCTCAGGGCGATGTCCTCGTCGAGGAGCGATGCGCTTGGATTCCTTCCGGGGCTCCCCCAAAATGGAAACAAATCCGTTGTTGTGCGTCTTGCCCTTTTTAGGCTTTTGCCAGACGAGGTGGAACAGCTGCACCGCAGTCAGTTAATTCGGAAACGGTTTTTTTTTGCGACCCATTGCGAAAACACTGTTATTGATTCGGCTGCCAATTTTCACCCAACTGACCCCGTGTGGCAGGCGAGGGCACCTCTCGAAATTTGTCATTTAGTTGGCAATTCCTTCGCATAATGAAGGCGTACTCAACACACATAATTGGATTGGTCGCCAGCGGGAAGTCCAGGCCAAACGTGGAGACAAGGAAAATTTCATTTTGCTCCTCGTTTTTGCTCATATGCGTTTCCTCTCCAATGTCCACGCACCTTGGGACAACAACAAGATTCCAAAGAAAAGCCACTGTCAATGGTAATTAAAACCATTTTCCGTGGGATATGAGGAAGTGCAAACCTGGTGGTCAAACCTGAGTTTCCTGCATCCAGTTGTCTTTGGGGACTTGCATACTTATGGGCACATTGGAAACGGCACATGCGGGGACGAAATTCCCGACATGGCATATGCACGGGGCTATACCTGTGCAGGGGCCGACCCGAAAACTCCCTCTGTTCGTCGGGTGGTCAGGGAGACGACGATTGCACAGAGATTTCCGAAGCAGCCTCTTGCTGCTCTCGTGAACATCATCACCAAGGCTTGGAATTACATGCGTTCAACTTTGTATTGATGGGCCATGGTGGGCCACACTCGCGGCACTTGCGAAGCGCAGCTCCTCGGATCGCCCCACAAGCGAAACGATGGTGGCATGCAGGGCGAGCTGGGACCCATACCACACTTGGACCCGGGCGCAGCCACCTCAACCCGCTGTTCATCGGTGACCAGGCTGTCTGTGTTCATCTCAGCAACATGGACCTCCGGCCGCGCGACAACACCGCACAACAGCCCGAGCGCTTGGGAAGCGAGCCGCCGACATGGCGAAGACAAAGGGTGTGGCGTGAATTTTCAAAGTGGAAAGAAGGAATGCTGGACTCAGGTGGCTCATGCATTTTCGTAGCATGAGCTGCCCATCCTCTGTGCTATGTGCCAGGTTTTCGTCTCTCAAATCTTCCGTTTTGGCTAATGGTTTAATCATGTTCCTCTCTCTTCGTGTCCTCAACCTGGACCATTTCGCCAACAATGGATCTTTGATCCTGTGTGTTTTGTGTTGTTTGTTTGCCCCCAACGCAGGCATTTAAAAAATTGCAGTCCCAGAATGGACTTGGAGGCTCTTTTCCATTTCGGTGCTGCACAATTGTTCGCAGGCCTCGAAACGGAAATGTCGGCAAAGCAAGTAAAGAAAAACACGTCCAGGCCTGGCCAGGTTGTGCCAGGCACGTTGTGTGTGAATCAACAATATAAGTCGGGGGATGAACCAATCCCACCGTCTGATCTGACACTACGACCCCTTGCGTGAGCCGTTTGAAATCAAAACACTGGCACTTTTGCGGACCAAAAATCGGTTTTAGCACGTCCCGTTTATCTGCCAATAACCCTTGGTTAACCGTCACTAGCCCTGCTCCCCCATTGCGCATCTGTCCGTTTCGATCATTTTCGATTGTTTTCGTCCATCTACATAGTACTGTGCGCACTTTACGTGTCAATATGCCAGGGCTAACCATCAGCAGGCTGACCATAGCGAACGAAAAAGGCAAGGGGCGGATCTGTGCGGAACGCGGTGCTGATGCCACAGTGGCAAACCAACATAGCCACCCAGCACAGGGGACCGCAGCAACCATGTCAAGCTGGTGCCTACAAAGCGCTGGTAAAACCATCAGTATCACTAGATCGGCCAGCTGTCGCACGTTACAGCCTGCTACTGCCAACATGTACTTCAACTGTCAGTCACAAGCTGTATTTACGAGTCATCAATGGTGCACCTGCTTCGCCGCATGTGTTATTCGACTCATTAATTATGCGGGATAAGCGCAGATGGACAGGGCATCAATTGCCATGCAATGCAACATCGAAAAACCCCGGCGGCCAACTTAAAGCAGGTGCAAGCCGAAAACGACTGCGCAAGCACCGTTGGCTTCGCAGAAGATGCGAACGTGACAATTCAGAGTGCCAGCCTGCTAGCCGACAGTTCTGCTGCAGCCCGCTCCATCTTCTGCAATTCATGAACGATTGTCTGGGCAGAACACACCTGTTTGTCAAGGCCGGTTGCTCGCTTGGGCTCCACATTGCATCCATGTCGCACAGTATGAAGTAGCAGAATCGATCAGCGTGCAACTACAATCACGGACACAACCAGACCCCAAGACACTGCTTGCAGCAGCGGTAACAACAACGACAACAAGAAGAGAATACGTCAACAACCGCCGTAGAACCGAAACACAAATGACAAGAACAAGAAGAACGTCAGCACCTACAAATGCAAGCGGACGAATCAAAAGAGCAACCGCGGTTCCATCCAAACTTGCCCAATAAAACTACTTGCTGCCTCGCTTTGATTTCGAATGCGAAAGGCTGTATGAAATCGCCATCATGGTTCAATGATGTTGGATGCTTCCCACATTTTTGGATAAGGTTGCGTTATCGCAAACTTGCCAAACCAACCCATTATTTGGTGTCGTCCGGCAGAAAAGTGTTTCGGGCTGGCACATGGAGGTCCAAGGAAAATCTCGTTCATGTCAAAGGACTGGGCACGGCCCAAGCTAGCAAATCCAGACAAGCGGCACATACGACGCCTTCACTCTCTGGTGATGCTTGCAGTGCAGTCCGAACTTTGGAACTGACACGTGGTGCTGCCTTCGTGCAATATGAAAATGCAAAACACCAAACACTCTCACTCATATCTCGTACACAAGCAGCATCCCTGTCAGCCTGTCAGCCCGCAAACTACACAATGTGAGTTGCATAAATCAAGCCACAATCAAGAAAGAAGCTGCGCGTGGTGGAGCTCCACTGGCCGCTTGCCACCTGAAGCCAACATCACGTCTTGTTGTATGGAATTCTCTGCTGCCAACCGACATACCCCATGAGATTGACTGAGGGGCTTTCCACCTCTGAAAATTTGAATAAACTCAACTAATTCACGGTTTCGTCACGGAGCATGCGCTCAGGCTGTTTATGTTAATTTGATTATACGGCAAGAATGCTGGTCTTTACCAAGCAGCCTTCCAAATGCCAATGAACAATTAAAGCTTCAGGCTGACAAGCACAGTTATTGATTCCCGTTGTTGATATAAATGGTGCACAAAAGTAACATCAGCAAAAGTTGTCATTTACAGATTGGCTCTTCGGAACACACATCCCCAACAAATGGTGCACATCGAACAAATTGGCCTCCGGCTTTTAAGGAGTCTCTGTTTGGTGTGTGTTGCAACTTTGGAAATTTCGAAAGAATAATTGCTGAAAACCACACTGTCACCTACCCCTTGCAGGGAACCCAAATATTTAGTTTATGAACAAAAAACAACGTCCACAAATGATAACGTCCATGCGGACAAAACAAGGTCACCAACATCAGCTTCATGTAGTCAAGGTTCAGAATGCTGTTTTTCCATAAGCCGGCATTTGAGCGCAGCTCCCGCGGCATGCGACACATGTTCTCCAGCTCCTGCCACCCCCGCATTCAGCAAAAAAAATAATCGTCACCATCTAGTTTGCAAGATCCAAATTGCGCAAACTTTTTAATCATTATAATCAACTCCCTTCAGAGCGTCCTGCAATTTGTCTGGGCAAGTCCGCAGCATGGCATTACTGAAGGCTGTGAAAGGCTGGCGTGGTTGATAATTGCACGACGCTGCTCAAAACTGAACACGATAACACGTGTTAGCTGATGACCTGCTTTGCCACAAGCACACATTGGCGGGCAATGGCAAGCTGAAGACCGTCATGTGTTCATAAATGCACTGTACATTGCCAATGCATGTCTGTTCTGCATTCTTGAAGAATTGTGCCTGCTATCATGTCAACCTGCACCGTGCCGTGGCATGTGACCAGCACTGTAACCTGCATGGGAAGCTAATTAAGTGCATGTTTCACCGCAATGCCTTGTCAAAATGAGGGGAAACAATGACCATTGAACACGAGAGGGGGGGAGGGGGGAAACGAAGAGCTGTAACAATTGAACACGTTGTTTCTTCCAAAATTTCATGCGAAAAATCAACTGCAAACATGGGCTCATGGCAATTCGCTCTGGCACCACCTGTTTTCCCGCTTTCAACGCGAGGAAACCACAAACAGAGGAGGCAAAGCCAGATGGACAAAACCAACCTACCCTTGCACACAATTGGGCTACATGATCTCAACACGTTGCGACAACTCCATGGAAAAACTCGATTGTGTTTGCATCTCCTGCATCTCAATAAACACACTCCTGCCGGTCTGATCATACGCAACAAATACCCAAGCAAAACAACATGCCGGTCCGGTTAGACGCACAACCTGTGGACACAAACGATCAATTGTCTGGATATCCCCGCTAAGATGCAGGACCAAATAGCATGTAGCAAAGCTTTGCCAACTAATGTTTAGGCACATATCCCAAAAAAAAATGCTCATGACAAGTAACATGTAATTGCATCGTGCGACGTGGCGTCCATGTCTAATGCACAATTTGTCCAAGCATGAAGCGCAAACCCGTGTAAGCTGCTCTTCCGCAATTTGTTTACGGGCAGCGTGATGACCCGTGCGGACGAAGTTCTCCCCAAACTGCTGTAATTGCGCCGACGCATTTCCTGACATTTAGTCACGTGGGTCCAAACAAAATGCGTGGTCTCAAAAAACAAGGTACTGGGAAGCATATCCCTGCTGCTTTCGGAAAATGTGCTAACATAGTCAGAATACAAATGCTGTATTTTTCAAAAGCATCATGCAAAAGGTTCTGACCTGATAACTGAGGAATTCTGTGTGGTTGCACTGCTCCTGTCCAAGACCTACCACAACAAGCAGGCAGGGTGAAGGAGGGTGGGTCCAAAAAAATTGTTGCATTGAAAGCGATCTACATAAAGGCTTGTAGTGGGCTAACAGTCTTGGCCTAGGAGCAGGAGTGGCAGCGGCGCGGCACGAGATTCACAACACACAACAAAACACAAGAGAAGAGAAAAACTCTTAGCAGAGGAGGAAGTCAGCACGTGGAGGCACCCACTGTCTGCTACCGTGTCGCCCTTGACATCTCAAGAGGGTCTCCGTAAACCAAGGTTCCAGCGGAGAACTAGACTATAACGCAGCCAAGTTGCACCAGAAGAAAGGAGAGAAGGACAAACCCACCAAGCCGAAAAGACGTGACCGTATGA